GTTTGCTTACTATGTAGGCCTCTGTATGGTCTCAAGCAAGCTCCTCGTGCATGGTTTGAGAAATTTGAGTCTATGATTACGGGCTTTGGTTTTTAGTAGAGCCTGAATGATCTATCTCTATTTACTTGTTAGTCTAGTGCTGGGCTCATTGTCTTACTGTTATATGTTGATGATATGATCATTACGAGTGATGATGTGCAGGGTATTCAGCGTCTCAAGCAAGGATTTCACGCCTCGTTTACACTCAAGTAGCTTGGGTCGTTGTCATTCTTCTTGGGTCTCAAGATTACGAGATCTCCTCATGGTATTATTCTTGGGCAGAAGAAGTATATTTCCGAGTTACTCTCCTCAGCTAATTTTGCAGATTGTGCTTCGTTTTTCACTCCTATGGAAGCTAATATGAAATTGGCTAAGGATTCTGGGGAACCGATTCCGAAACCGTCGTAGTATAGGCATTTGGTTGGCAGTTTGATCTATCTTACGTCTACTCGCTCCGATCTTTCCTATGCAGTGCATATTGTTAGTCAGTTTATGACTGACCCACGAGTTGATCATTTCGCGGCGGTTCATCGCATACTGAGATACTTACAGGGCACTAAAGGTGTTGGTATTTTCCTTTCATCCACTGGTGAGTTCTCCCTCTAGGCTTACTCTGATTCTGATTTTGTGGGCTATGTTGATACCCTTCGTTCGACGATTGGGTGGTGTATTCGGTTTGGTGATGCTTTTGTTAATTTGAGATGCAAAAAGAAAGATAGGGTGACTAATTCGTCTATAGAGGCGGAGTATCGTGCTATGTCGGATGTTGGGTCTGAACTAGTGTGGATATGCAGCGGTTATTGGCTGATTTGTGTGTTCACTGCAGCTCGTCGATGGCTCTCTATGTGGATAACACCAGTGCGATTCAGATAGCTGCCAACCCATTTATGCATGATAGGACAAAGCATATCGAGATTCATGTGCATTATGTTCGCGATCTTGTTCGTGATGCTGTGGTTCGACTACATTATGTTGTCTCAGAGGATCAGTTAGCGGATCTGTTCACTAACCGTTTACTTGATCGCATCATTGATTCGTGTCTAGCAAATTGACACGTAGTAGTCTTCAATTTGGAGGAGGCTGTTAGCGGGTTATGTTTATTGGATATTGGCCCAGTGTTCAGGCCCATTTGGGTAACTAGCCAAACTGGGGTTTCCTTCTCCCCTTGGGACGGCACGAGCAGCATGACGTAAGGGAAATGTATATATACTTGTAATATACCATCACCGAGACCTAAAAGACTAAGAACCCTAATAAAATTTCAGCTTAGAGAGTTCTAACTCTCCCGTGGACTAGTCTCGTTATCGGGGAAATCACATAAATCTGTCTGTCGTTTTATTGTTCTATTTAGTTCATTAACAACCACACGACGTCGTTTTCCCATGTTTGAGAAATGCGACTCATATCCAATTTTTTCACTTAATGTTATATACGTGTGTGTGAATTTTTACTATATATTGGATCCAAGTACAACCTATTATTTTGGTATAATGTTATATGTTATTACTCATATGTCATATGAAATATAATATAATTTATAAATATATGAACAATATAATAATTTTTTTTCTCCATATATCCAAACTAAACTAGACTAAAGTGATAAGATCATTAACTCTCGACTCACTTACTTGATTCGATTTACCGGCTAAATTGAATTGACAACCCTTATATATAAAACAATTCCAATCGTTTGTGGTTTGTAATATCTAAAGATAAGGATAAATGATTTGAAGGGAGGAGAATTGAGATAATGCACGCCAGAATACTGGCAGCTAATGTAAACCACCAATATGAGTTACAAGAAGAAAACAAACATATTTGATGCGATGTTTGTACCAACTTGAATAAATAATTGAGATTGCATAATAGATAGGGAATAGTTTATCATTGCAGTAAGCGGGTTTCTGTCGTTAGACTGTCGTAAGATATCTTACTATGAGAAATTTTACAATGATATATAGCATTAGTGTTATAGATTTTTGCTTTTATTGTACAACTTGAAATTGTACCTTTAACGTTACGGTACAACTTCAGATTGTACCAATACTTTTTGTACAAATTCTTTTATGGTACAACTTAAACTTATACCTTATGTGATGGTACAACTTCAAATTGTAAAGTCGTAAATTAATGTTATGGTACAACTTCAAATCGTAAATTAAAGCACCAATGCTATATAACATAGTAGAAGTGCTTATCTTACTATAGTTATGGGTCATGTCTTATTGAAGCGATAAGTCTAGTACCAAAGCGTGAATTTCTTTTGTTAAAGTAAATATTACTATGTAGATTTCAATTGATCTTATTTTTAAAGAGAGCAGATAGGGTATAAAATCTTTCAAAACATTAATATATAACGATTCAATAAAATCATATATAATGGTCGACAATTTATACAAAAATAAGGAGGAAAAACCAAGTATTGAAATAACGTACCAGAGGTTGTACCTAGGGTATTTAATGCTAAAACTGTGGTTCAACCTCTTAATACCGCTAAATACCGTTGGTACGATACGATATTTTCAGGTCGAACCGCGGTACGATACGATATTTCAACTGATAATTTCACATCCCTCAATCATTTCAGGGGTGGCAATGAGGATGTGCGGGAGACCCTCGGCAAAGGCCCTCCAAATATTAGGGGACTCCATTTAATTCCATTAGTTAATTTGATTGAATACCATATGTTGTATTTATAGTATACCGTATGTTTGGGAGTTGAAAGTCCTATTTGTTTAAAAAAAAATGACATAAGAATGCCTTAATGGATTAGTTATATATAGCAATGAATGAAAATGATCTTATGGAAACTACGAATATTAGAGAGCTAATATATAATTCGATCTTAAACAATACTAGAAAGAGATCACATTTAAAATAACAATGTTATGTTCATTTTCTTTTATTATACTAAAAGTTATTTTGAACTATATCTCCATTTTGAACAGGGTATTCACGATCCATTGAACGACCCTGTGTCTTTTATTTTTCTTCCACTGACACGAAATTTAGAAGAGAGAGCAGATATTTTTGACCTGTCAAATGCTACTTTTTATAATTTCTCATTTTTCTTAATCAAGTCATATCTCATTTGTTTTAACTCATAATTCAAAAAATTTAGCAAAGAAAGATTGCATTAATTACAAATATATATAATTATATATATGGTTCCGGCTAGCGTACATCAGTCGTACATTGTACGCCCGTCGAGTTTTACTATTTAGAACACGACTTAACCGAATATTTGGGCATGATATTATACCCTAACCTCTAATGGGTGAACCCCAGTCTCTAATTCTCTAACCCAAGCCACGTGATTCATTTAATCTAAATAATAATAATCGACTATTCTGATTCAACGAAATATATTGAAGTACAAAAACCAAGTGTGAATAAAGGCGTACAGCGTACTGCGTACGCCTGATGCATGCTAGCCTTTGCCATATATGGTTATATATATATATTGACTACTTCGGTGCACTCACACAAATGAGTGCGTTCAATCCACCAACTCAAAAACTAGTCTTAAGGTGTCGGATTTTGAATTTTAATTTGTAGAATTAGTGTAATATGATGATATAACATATGATAACAACTAATTAGCAGATTACCCTAAGCCCTAGACCTCCAATTTTGATATCTATCCCTAAACCTCAAATTATAAACCCTAACCCTATCCCTAAATCTCTTAACTCTAAATCCTTCAAATTAAAGTAAATCTTTAATGGGTTTTTTGTGCAAATTCATGTGTGTTATTGTTCATCACATCATAAGTGATTATTGACATCATTTTGAGATAAATCGCATGTTTAAAATGACGGTTATGAAGTGAGTGCACAGAATGCTCCCAAAAAAGTGAGTGCATCGAAGACGCCATCATATATATAGTGACTTCTATCGTACACCAGACATATATTGGGGTAAGTCGTACGCCAACAATCTTCACCGTCCACGTCCTTCTCAACGGCCAGCATTAATGCGGGGTTTTTTCTGTGGTATTAAAAAATAAATTACTTCATTTACTGGCCGTTGAGGTGGACAGGACGGTGGAGATTGCCTGGTGTACGACATACACCAGGTTTTGCCTGGTGTACGACATACACCAGGTTTTGCCTGGTGTATGATAGAACCATCCATATATGGTAATGAGTGGTATACTCCAGAAGTATACCATATTCCATGTGATATGACCGTTAGATCTCCTTTTCTGAGCTCCGACCAATGTCACGGTCAATTAATATTTTCTATTAAATTATATATATATGAATCATTTTGCTGTAATTTGATTAAAACAATAATTAGTTTTTTGCAAAATTTGTTTTAGTTGTAGTATTACTATTATCACTTTCATATCACAATAATATAATAGTGGTATGATGACATATTTCCTTATTTTAACTTGAAAATTTGAAAATAATTTTGATAAAAAATCAATAATTATTATTTACAGAATAATATCTATTTGATATTTTTTAAGCAAAAGAAAACTAACTCTTCAAAAAAAAAAACATATTTGTTTTCATTTATCAATGACATATTATGATTTTACCACTATGGTAAGACATATAATTATCATACTTGTGATATTATCACGGTAATAAAATTATGATATTATGAAATCAATTTTTTGTCTAAAAATAATACTTCATATGATCTTATCATTATCACTAAGATCATATTGTTATGATAAGACTTCATAATATCATCAAATTACTACCATACCACAATTTACCACTATGATTAGATTGTCAATATAATATGGAGATTTTGTATTGTAACAAGATAATACACAACAGTAACTTTTTCATGTTAGAATCTAAACAAGATAAAAAAGTAAACTTTATATGGTCGGAAAAAGTAAAACAACAGGCAATAAATTGCTGAGACTGGCAACACTGCTTTTCATATCACATATGCATACCATTAATAAGATCACATCTTAAATGATCCAATTTTGCATTGAAAGAGAGTGCAGTCCAAGTCCAGTAGTACACCATTTAATTCAATTCAATTCAATTCAATTCAATTCAATTCATGGTTTGTTAACAATTGGAAGATTTTTTAATGAGAGATACATCCAAAGAAGAGAGGACCTCAACGACACATGTTGGTTTCTTTCCTTCCTTGTTCTTAGTAATTGATAACCTAATAATAATATTACATACATAAAAAGATAAAAAGAAAAGAGAGACTTTGGCGTTTTTTTTCTTCTTCCTTTCAATCCTTCTAATATTTCATGTGGAACGGTTTCACGGTCTTGAGATCGACGATCATCCCGGCGATGGACCCGGCCGCGGCGGCGATGGAGATCATCAGACAAGCCATGCTCAGGATCTGAAGGCTCACCCATCTTGTGCTCCACTTGGGGATCTTCATCTGTGCAATGTACATCTTCACCGGGAAGTAAACGGTCATCGGCCAGAACCCCACCGACCCCAAAAGACCCACGACGTCGTTGAAGAACGGGAGCAGCATGGAGATCACAGTTGTGGTAATGACGAAGATGGTCCTCCACACCAATCTGAACAAGTTGAAGTTGTAATGGCCCCAGGGGAGTGGGATTCTGAACTCCTTGGTGATGAAGTTGCTGTCGGGGAAATTGTTGGCGGCCAGCTTCTCGACGAATGCGTAGATGGGTTGGCAGAAGACTTGGTAAGCTCCGACGAGGTGGACGACGATGGCGACGTTCGCGATGTCGAGGAGCCAGTAAGGGTTGTAGAATCCGAATCCGGTGAGGAGGTTTCCGGGGGCTTGGTCGCCGAAGGCGGCGTAGCCGAAGCAGCCGCAGAGCATGTAGAAGACGGTGGTCACTGAGATGCTGATCAGAGATGCTTTCTTCATCGTCTTTGATTCTGACGGCGGGGATTTGATCGTGTCCTGAAAATTTTTGCACCGGTAAAAGGGTTAGAAGCGGGAACAGGGGAATTGAAAAACAGGGGAAGTAAAAAAAAAAAAAACAGGGGAAAGAAATAGTTATTAGTACCTGAATTTCGATGAGGATGTTGGAGAAGGAGTAAGCAAAGGCGATGCCGCCGAGGGCCTGGAAGCTACGCCAGACTTTATCGGTGGGGGAAACGACGTCGATTCCGATTCCGGTGAGGCTTCCCTTAATAGCTTGGTTCTCGATGACTTTGCCGACGCCGAGGCCGAGTCCGATTGTGGAATAAGTGAACGACATGACGGCGGCGACGAAGGAGAGCCACCAGAGCTGGTCGAAATCCGGGATTTGGGAGAAGAGGATTTCGATTACTCCGAACGCAATCATGTACGGGTTGGCGTTCATATGGCAGGGATCAGTTCCTCCGCTTCTGTGGAAACAATTCGACCTCTTCACTGCCCTGTTGAACCGAAATCAAACACCAATTAGTCCGAATTTCTGAAACAGGGGACCCAAAAAAAAAAAAAAACAGAGCATAGTTGAAAACTAGAGGGAAAAAGGAACTCACATCATGCTAATGGAAGAAGCGATTGTGTAGCCGATGGTAACACCGAAGAGATTAACGTACTGAACACACCCGCAGATCTTAACATGGTAACCGCCTGACCATCCAAATTTCGTGTCAGCCGATGAGTTCGAAACTTGTACACGGAAATAGATTACAGAAGGAGGGTGGATGAAGTAAGTAGAAGACATACCGAGGGTGGATTTGACGGCCGCCATGTAAGTGTAGTTCCGCTTGCCGGTGTCAGGGTCGCCGGCGCGGTAGCAGGAGGCGAGGAGGGTGGAGGTGTAGTAAGTGACGAAGGAGAAGAGGAAGAGAACGGTCGGACCGGCGATCCAACCAAGCTGAGCGGTTGACCAAGCCAGCGAGAGGACACCGGAACCGATGACCGCCGTTATGATGTGAGCACTTGCAGTCCAAATGCTTCCTGGAAACCGGGCACAAAAACAATGTTTAATAAAAATTCAAAATCAATTACCCACTTGGGTGGGAAAGCTTTCTGCTTGTTTTCATTTTTTTTTTCTCTCCAAGTATACAAGGAATACCAGTTCGTTTAGGGCGGCCGTCGTCATCGAAGCACTTGGAGGCCATGATGGAAGGAGTGTCCATGGAGACGTCGAGGGCATGGTGACTGTGACGGTGGTAAGGAACTTCCCCATTCCCGTTGCCGCTGTCGCTCTCGACCATCTTTGTTGTTTTGCAGAGAAAACAGAGCAATGGAAAAAACAGAGTGAGAAGAGTTGAGTGAGTTGCAGAGTCAAAACAGAGTGAGGGGAATTGAAGAAGGGAGATACGATGATGAGTGGAAATGGGGAGGGAGAGAAAGGGATTATATAGGGAAGAAAGGGAAGGCACGTGGGGACTTTGAGGAGGTAGGCGGCAGAGAGATAGGGAAGGGAAGTGAAAGGGGCAAAAGCAAAAAAGAGGGGCCGGAGGGGGGAGGAGAATTCGTCAACGGCGAGTGCCATTAAATCTTCGCCATCCCTTTTTGGCCGGAAATGGGGATCCCACCATCTCCACTACCACTGCCACTACCGGCATTTACAGTTAGTTATAGAGGGAGAGGGAGAGGGAGAGAGAGCGGCTTGCCCTTTTTTGTAAGTTTCTTCACTTGCTGCGATGGGAAATTATAGCAGCTTCTGGCCTCTTTCATTTCCCTCCCCTGCTTTTTTTTGGCTTTCGGGTTCAGTGGAAGAATCCGGTGGGGAGCTAGGTTTAGGTATCAAGTATCAACCTACTTGGAAGAAAGAAGGTAGGTTTCTATTGAGCTTGGTTGGGTATCTACACATACTATAATACACCGAAGGGAAAAACGGGAGATTCATTTCAAATTTCTTGCAACGAGAGTGAAAGTAGGAAGGACATTTTGGTCTTCACAGTTTTTTTTTATTCATTAAAAAGACACATTCTGGGATTCAAACCATGATCATTTTTAAGAAGAACAAGGATCATAACCAATCACACTAAGTACATTTATTGTATCTTTTTAAATTAAAAACATATAATAGCAGGGAGGAAAACACTCTTCCCCCATTTCAAATTCCCTGCTCCAAGAGCGTTTGTAGAAAGGGTAGAATAGGGAGTGTCAATTTTTTTCTCTTTCCTCTGTGGAACGGGCCAACTTACCGTACACATGCAGATTTAAACGGGTCCATGAGTGTCATTTTTTTCTTTAAAGGTCTTTTATTTCTCCGTGGTGATAAAATATATATGAAAAGACAAAAACAATACTCCTTTTTATTTCTAAAAATAAAAATTTAACAATAAACTAATGCATGGTATCTAATGGGCTAACCGCTAACCATAAAATAAAATAGTTGAATGGGCCTGACCTACACGGGATTTGGCCATCAAGTAAAACAAATAAATATCATTGGTTTGCCATTCTAAAAACGTTTGTAGGAAGGGTAGAATAGGGAGTGTCAATTTTTCTCTCTTTCATCTGTGGAACAGGCCAACTTACCGTACACATGCGGATTTAAACGGGTCCAGGAGTGTCAATTTTTTTCTTTAAGCTCTTTTATTTCTCCGTGGTGATAAAATATATATGAAAAGGCAAAAACAATACTCCTTTTTATTGCTAAAAATAAAAAATTTAACAATAAACTAATGCATGATATCTAATGGGCTAACCGCTAACCATAAAATAAAAGAGTTGAATGGGCCTGACCTACATGGGATTTGACCATCAAGTAAAACAAATGAACATCATTGGTTTGTCATTCTAAAACAAGTTATTTTCTCTGGCATAATATATATTATGCTATTATTTTAAATCTTAGTTGCTAAAATATAATGTATTTTAAAGTTATTCAATGGTTCAACCTCGACCAATCCAATTAGTCCAATTTTTATCATTTCAAATATATATTATATAATTATTTGATATCATAATGATCAAATTATAGTGTATTTTACAGGGAATCGTTTGGTATTTGTTAGTAAAAAACTAAACAGAAAGATCTATTTGGTTATTTTAAACATTAAAACGATCCTAAACATTTTCAGTTCCTTTTGAATTTCTATGGTTTTATTCCCGAATAAGTGATGTGCAAATGGCGAATTGTAGTCATCTCTTTTCATTCACTATTTTTTATTTTCAAATAGAAAGTTTAAAAGTAAAGAATAATTAGAATTTGGCATGGGTCGGTCAAACAAGCTGAATTTCAAGTTTTGTCCCGTTTTGATCAAGTCTAATTTATAATCACATGGTTCCCTGATATTCGATAAAAATCTCAATCCAAACCAGTTTGGCAGATGAGTTCGTGTTTACCACCATTTTCTAGGGATACGACAACGGCGGTTCCTATCCTAAATCGTGTTGTTCGTTCTTGATTTTCTTAGATTTTATCATGGCCTGACAAAAACCAAAAAGCACAATGACGACAAGATGACAGTTTTATAAAGCAAATTAATCGGCCAACGGGCCGAGTAAAAGCTAGCAACGATTGTGAGATGCTCATTTTTCGAAAACCGACGAGATAGCCGATTTTTTATTCGATTTTCTGGAATTCGGTTTCTATAAAAGTTACTCCACCTCATCATATTACCAGAAACAATATTGTTTCACAAGGTAACAGGTACTTGCTTTTGGTTTATAAGGCCGATTTTTGATTCGTTGCATCATTCATGTCTCTTTCCTGCTAAAATTCATTATTTTTATCATGTGTTTCCCAAAAAAAACTATATAACAATAAGTTATACACCCCATTACATTATCAAATCTCATACCTCACATTCCTCCGGCCAACTGGCCGGGGCCACGCTAGTCTTTGTAATGGCTTAAATTAATAACATCTCGTTTTTTGTTTTTTGATATTTTTAATTTTTATGCATAAATCGTATAATTATTGTATTAAATCGACGAAAATAGTGCAAACTCAGACACATAAGTTATGAGGTATTGGACGAAACAAATTTCAAATATGTGACTCGTAATTTTAATGCTTATCACAAATGTATTTATGAAGATAACTTTGATTTTCGGACATTAACTTTTGCGCGATACATATGATTATTCCCATTTTGGTGCTTACCTGCCACAGTTTTGACTATTGAAGGAAGGTAGAAAGATCAAGTTGCACCACAAATGCAGTTACATCTCCTAAAATCGGGGTTTCCCCCTTTTTCTCCTCTTTCACCATCTCTTTAGGGTTATATTCAAAGAAGGTGATGATTGAGAAAATCCATAAAAGAAAACAGGTATTGGTTTTGGGGGACTTTTTGGGATCATGTTGTGAAAGTTTGAGGGGAAAAGGAATAAAATTAGGAGTTTATAATAGAAAGGAAGTTTGACTAGTTTGTTGAATTCAGTGATGTTTGAAATTCCATTCCACTCTTTCCCAGCTACCACTAATCAACTCCCGTGCATGAAATATGAGGCTCCATTGATTCCAAGCTTAATCTTTCCGTTTTTAATGAATTAGTAGGTAAAGGTTGGCAATACTGAAACAAACCATTTTACGAGACACCTACCTGATCATCATATTCCTTTCATATTTTAACTTTTAACTTTGTTCGTAGGAGTACCTACTTTAGCCTACAAAGTACAACCCATCGTCAAGCAAGTCAAGCCGTAAACTTAGACAATCTTCCTACCCAACATTATTTCAAGAAGAAACAAGAAGATATTTGATCTTAGTACTAATATTCTGTTGTGAAACCATACTATATATATTGATAGTTCCTTCCTAAAAATATCCTATAAGCATGCGGTTTTTGACAGTATGCAAAGATTGAACCATAATTTCATCAAAAAATATCCTCTCACTAGCTTTTTTGGTACAAACCTCTCTAGTACGATTTCGCAAAACTTACTTTCAACGTGCTCCTCATCATCAAATAAAAATTTTCACCAGAGAACGAAACTAAAAAAACCCAGTAAAAATTCCTTATTCATGCAAAGTTTCCTTTCTTAGTTTGCTAGACCAAACCCTAAAAAAGGTCAAACCCCAGGGGAAAAAAGACACTGAGATATCATGAAATGTGAAGCCCCAAGCCACCCAAAAACATATCTTTGACGATAAGAGAAGGGAGCATTATGGTATGGGACTCCATTCCATAACAATACCTCAAAACTCTTACCTTCTCTATTATCTCTGAGGCTTCAAGTCTCTTCTTCCCCCACCTTCTTTTCCCCTTGTTGAATCCGGCTCCCAGGAAAAGAATAATTTACAAACAAGGACAATATATTGACAGAGAATGCAATGGGCACTCAACGGTGTGATGATATGGGAAGTGGCCTTCCCATCCCTCTCTTTATATATATACAGCCTCCTTCATTTCTCAAGAAATGGGACGGACGACGCAAATGCTGGAGGGAATAATAATAATGATAGTGACACCAAATAACTATAAAAAATGGTTCATCTTTGAAAGACAACCTCTGAATTGAGATTCTCACGTTTGTTTCTTGTTCATTCTCCTCCTCCCATGGTTGGAGTTGAATCGAATAAGGTTCCCTTCTTCAGCTTTTTCCATTAATGTATTTTGCTCCCTCAGCATCGAGAGACACCACAACTGCGTCGTCTCTAACTGATGTCTTGTTTTATTTCGTGTGTGTGCATATTTTAAACAAGGCAAAGTTTGGCAAATTCGGAAAAGGGCCATTTGCAAAACTACAAATTTGATATATATATAAAAAAAAAGGACAGGGATGAGGTCAAACACAGAAATATGTGTCATGGTCTCGTCTTGATATTCCCTTTTGGAATTACCTTTTGGCATTGGGAGATCTCAGGGGGTGTCCTTGAATTCAGGTTGCATCGGTGTCTCGATCCTTTTTAGAGCATTTGTTCTTTCATTGTCCGTAATGATGAGATATTTGACGCGCGTTGAGGGAGCCATCTTCCAGGAGATTGCTAGCTTGCGAAGTATGTCCAGTCAATTCGATATGATGTTTGTAGGACAGGTGAATGACAGGGGGTGTCCATCTAGTGTCGAGAAAAGCTCTTTCGTTAAATCCACTGATGTTGGTGAGTTTTTATTTTGTTTCTTAGTTGCCATCAATTGGTTAAGTTCAAAACAATGTATCTCTTTGTTCTCGATAACACGAGTAATCTAGTGGGGAGAAAAGACGGAAAATAAGAGAATTTTAACCAAACACTTAAAACTACGTAAACCTTGATCATTAAGTGGGAATAACAAGCAAAGTAGTAGTACCTCATTCCCCCACATCATTGCCTTTTAATTACATCCCCAAGCCTGAACATCTAACACAAAGAACTGGGAGTAGTTTTTGTGACACTAGCTAGCTTGCTACAGGGCGACGTAAGTGGCTGTGAAGAAGATGCTTCTAAAAGTGAAGATATTGACGATTCAATCCAGCAAGCAGGTGAGAAGAAAGTATTCTCAGATTTAAAGTAAGCATGCTTGTCGATTAATTACGATTACGCATTGCAAATAATCGGGAGCGAATTTCTTGTTAACTATTAATTAATTAATTAATAGCGTAAGGAACTCCACTGTTCCTCACGAAATTCTCGATCCCATGGCCCCGTTACTTACTGTTCATTGGGGACTTTAATCCTCTTTGGTTTGGTACATTGATATATGTTGGGACTCTATATAAATCCCGTTGTCCGGCTCAAGATAGGGTGCATAACCATGGGTTATGCACACATCAATAACCAAATCTGGACCCTTCATTTAGAAAATCCAGATTTAAGGATGGAGAATTAAAGGCTATTTTTATTTTCACTAGCTTTCTTAATTGACTCATATCTTTTTCGTTTTAACTCGGATTTTAATTTTTTTTTGCACAGATGGAACGAGTTCACCGTGC